CTTTTGATCTCGTACATTAGTCATAGTGGACTTTTGCTCATATTTCTTTTCAAAAATCGACTTTTGTGTTCTCATAAATTGAGATTCATTAAACCAATCCTCTATTGGATCGTCATACCAAGTTCCCAAATCTCCTTCATATGGTTCACGTTGTTGTGGTACACGTCTTTCACGTGTCTTTGGATTCAAAAAAGAAGAACCAATCCCATTTCTTATTGCCTTTTCAGTTGAGTCGTCAATACGCGAGGCAACATGGACTTTAGAAAGTCTGTACGGAGCCAAAGAGTCTTGCAAATAACTTTCCAAATCAACAAACCCACCTGGATTTCTTTGAAGAATAATGACAATTGGATCTGTACTCTCATCAAAGAGCTTTTTACATTTATCAAAAGTTTCGATGTATTCACTTTGATTTGGGGTGTAAAACGAGTTTATAACAAGGAAATACATTTTCTGATTGTTGACATTTCTTTGACCACATGAGAGCACTTTTGGAATTGAATAAATAAATAAATCACTTGGAGATTCTTTTTTAATATTACCATTTAAATTAATATAATCAGTGAAGTCTTCATTGTTTATAAAATTCGAAGACATTAATAGATCATTATGTGGTAAATTATTTTGCTTTAAATTGTTGTTTTGAAGTTTGTTATATGCTGTTGTAAACTTCTCAAATTTCAGAGCCTTTTTCTTTGTATCGAAAAAGACTGATGTAAAGTTTTTCATTGATTCATCTTTAAATTTGAATGTAAAATTAAGATCTTCCTCTTTAAATGCAAAGATTGAGTAAGCAGATAATGTAAATGAATTTTTAAGTAATGTAACAGCAGAGTTTACATTTTTCATTTTATAATACTTGTCTGCATAATTTTTAATAAATTGAATTGCATTTTCATTGTTAATTTCAATAAGTTCTACATTTTCTCTACTCTTTAAGAAATGTATAAAATTATCATCAAAGTAATAGTCTGGAGATAGTCCACCAATTGTTTTTGGAACTTTCACAAACACTTGGTTGTTTTTTATTGAAAATGTGCATGGGTTGATGACAAGGTAATCACCAAGTTTGTGGTTGGTTACATTTGGGTAGAAATTAATACCAAGGTGAAGGTCTTTTGGTGAAGCAACCAATTTGTGAATTTTTACAAACAAATCCAATATTGGAAATGAATCTCCAGAATTTAATATAAAATTGTTAATAATAGTAATCTCTGCTTCCACATCAAAAGGTTTGTGATAGTCTGGATGGCCAGATGGTTGTGGTGGAGACTTGATGATGTCATAAAAGACATAAGCACCCAAATACTCACTTATTTTGGAAAAGAGTTTCTGAGCATCAACTTTAGTAATTTTGGCTTTTCTCATTTCTCCGAATGCCTGATGTGGTGTGCAAAGTTGCTTTGTACACTGAGAAAATGCACATACAAACAATACAAAGAAGAACATTAATAATTTTTGCTTAATCGAGTTGTTTCTTTTTATTGGCGTAAACTTAAAAGTTATTTGTTATGAAACCCATTTCATAATAACTTCATTTTTCGTTTTCATTGTAAAATAATTATCTTCAATGAAATGATACTTTTTTAAATGTTTTTGAATAACTTTGAATTATTTAAAACATGAAAAGTTAACAATATAAAACTACGTAATGTAACGTACAAATAAATAGAGAACCAGAGAGCAAACAATAAAAATGAGTTATAAAAACTTTTTAAACATTTCTCTGATGTGAAATTTTAATTATTATAAAAAATACAAACTATAATTAACTATGATTTAATAATATAATATTTTTTGTAACTAAAAAAATATTATATTATGTTTTTCCCAATAATATGTAATAATAATATATTACATATTACTATAATATGTAATACCGTAAGTTTTAAAAATAAGTTTACAACCAACAAAAATTCATTTTTAAATTTATTAATTTTAACCTAAGAACGCTGATTCAAATCCACTTATTTTCTATCCCCTCCCGTTGGGACCAACTGGAAAATACTATTTATTATTTCTTTTTATACAAAAAAAATAAAATCAACAAATAATCAAAACCATACTTATTTTTTTCTTTACAATTGATACATATTGCGCGGAAGTGTTCATAACAGCACCAACATCAAATCCTTTATGAAAGCAAACAATCATCTTCATTGTTGAGACAAGTGTTATTTAATTATCATTCTGAGTGTTCAAAGATGTGTTCTTTATTGAAGTCGGAATCCTTTATTAATCTTATCAATTTGGTTTAGTTAGTTAGTTTGGTTTAAATTGTTTTTTTGTTAAAAATTATTATATTATATTATTGATAAAATATAATTAACATTAAATAGTTAAATTTATTTTTAATCATATTTAATCAACATCTATTTTTTTCATAATTAAAAAAAGTGGATGTAAATTCAAATCCTATAATTTTTATTATTTTTTCCAGTTCCTCCTTCCTAAGGTTAAATGGTAACACATTGACTTCGCTTCGATGATAGATTTACACCAACTTTGTTTATAACTTGCTTTAAAACGTCTTTAAATGCGTTTTCAATGTTGATATTTGTTTTTGCTGATATTTCTAAATAAGGGACACCCCACTCAGTTGATAATTTTTCACATTTATATGAGTCTACTTTTCTTTCAAATTTTAAATCACTTTTATTAGCACACAATACAACAGGAATATCACCAAAAGTGTCTTTATCTTTGTGTCTCAAAATTTCCTCTTTGTATTTATAAAGATTTTCAAATGATTCTTCTTTGTCAAGAGAAAACACTACAATAAACCCATCAGCGTTTTTGTAGTACTGGTCGCTCATTGCAGTGAATTCTGTTGTACTCGAATGATCGTCGAGTATCACAACAAGAAATTGTACACCTTCAACTTCAACTTGCTTTCTCATTTGGTCTTCCATAGTCGGATTATAATTTTCCACGAATATTCCCTGACAAAACCTCAGTTTAATTTGTGTTTTACCAACTTTACTATCTCCAACCAAAAACACTTTACACTCTTTAAACACCATTGACACTATCAACACACTAAAAAGTTCTTTTTATAATTAAAATTCCACATTAAAACGTTTTTTAAAACAATATAAACTCAGAATTAATAAGAAGAAAGAAGAAAAAAGAAATAACATAACACACTATGACTGAGACTTCATGTTAACAATTTGTGGACCACACTCATTATACTCCTCTTTAGTTACAAACATATTTTCAGAAGAAGACAAAGATCCAACAATAGACCCTCCAATCCAAGCAGAGTAAATTCTTTCTTCTGGTGCAACAACTCTAACTCGCGAGTTTTGTGGTGATAACGCCTTCACTTCATTTTCTAGTCTCTCTGCAAACCCGGGATACATAGTGTTACCTCCGGCGACGATGATGTTACTATTAAAGTCCCTTCTACTGTATATATCACACTTATTAATAGCATCAACAATGTACTTTTGCATTGGCATTGATTCGATTCCAAAGTCCGCAGGTCTAAAAATTGCTTCAGTCGCTTCAAATCTTTCTTTTCCAATTTTAATAACTGAATAATCCGGAAGTTCATATTCCTTCTCAATTTCACTCAAATTCTTCTTCTCCTCTTCTTCATAATTCAATGCACAGTAACAAAACTTATTTTGAATGTCATTTAAGACTTCCATGTCTTCTGTAGTTTTAAAGGTGTACGTTCGTCTTGAGAGTAACTTTTTCATTGTTTCTGAAATACTATTCCCAGCTACAGAAGTTCTTAGCCCACATCTTTTCATAGTAAACCCTTCATATATTGGCTCCACTCTAAAAGTACTCTCCCCACTCATAACAACAATACCAGACGGTCGGCCTGACGCAAACATCGCCATTACACTTGGTCGGCCAAATAAAAGAGACGGGACTTCAAACTCTTCGAAAACATATTGACTCATTTGTTCACGTACTTTATACGATAACTCAAAATCTTCTGTGAGAATAACACTCCGCTCTTCGGGATTTACTCGCAATTCATTGTAAAATGTGTGGTGCCATATGGAACGTAAGTCATCATAATTGACAACTTTGCCATCGTGTATTGGGTGTGTTATATGAAGAACACTCATTCTGGATATTGCTTCTTCTCCTACATAACTCTCTCTTGTACCACAACCTATCATCTTTATTAATGTCTTTGGAACGCCAACTACTGTTGGAAATACCGACCTTGGACAATCATCGCCAGCAAAACCAGCTCTGATAGTACTTGAACCGTTATCTATAACAATAACATTATTCTCGTCTTCCATTTGTTTAAGTTCCTCATTTTTAGTTTCATTTAATTAACACTTAAAATAATGCTCTTGTTTTTTTAAGCTGTTATTACTGGGATTTTAATTGATTTTTGATAATATTTTCCTTTACGCTTGTGTGATGATATGCACATATAATAAACTCTAAAAACTTGAAAATGTATAATAAACTTGTCAGTCTGAAAACGTTGTCCGCTCTCCAACGTTGTCCGGGCATTTTTGGACCATCAAAACTGGAATGTTTCAAGAAACAATTCGAAACACTCCCAAAACATCGTTTCATAATTTTTCCGGGATTTGATCATTTTTTCCTAATTCCCAAAATTTTAAACTTATTTTGTGTAATTTTTTGTCAAATGGACAACGTTTTTAGACAGACTTTAAAGATTTTCTAATTTTTAGTCCACTTGAATTTTGTTCGTTGGTATTTAAAGTGTTAATAAATCAAATACTATGATCAAACTAAAAATTATATTTCTAAAAAGAACTGTATTTGTTTCAATATTTATTAAATGTTTTAAATGAAAATCTTTTGAATTTATGTTTACCTTAACTTCTATATAATTTAGAATAAAGTATAAATAATATAGTTGACTCATTTCAACGACAATTAAAAACATACTTTTAATGTTTTTAAGGCTGTGTACTTTGATGCACATGATAAACTTCTAAACACCATAAATTATATTCAATAGACTTTATATTAATTGAATATAAAGTTTTTAAAAGACTTTAATTCAGTTGACTTGCTAAGGTTAAGATGTTAAGTCTACAACCAAATTACCTTTTATTACATTCAAAAGTACATGTTTATATAAAAAAGACTATATATTCCAATTTAAATAATAATGTCTGTTTAACAAGTTGTCCATTTGACAAAATTTTACACAAAATAAGTTGAAAAAATTAAGAATCAGTTAAAAACGTTGAAATCCCAGTAAAAATTATGAAACAGTGTATTTAAAATGTTTCGAATAGTATCCCGAAATATTCAAGTTTTAATGGTCCAAAAATTCCCAGACAACATTATTGTATTGACTACATTGAAAAATAAAAGTCTTACACCCACTATATTTCCTATTACTTGCGTTTTTGAACTATAAAAAACGATGAAAATGCTGATTACTTAATTCTTAACTATACCACCCTTTCTCACAGGCATGAACTTCTTCTTTTCAGTGACTTCTCTCTGCATGAACCAGATTGTTCCTTGTCCCGCGCCTTCGGCCTTCTTCTTCTGTTCTTCGAGATACGCTTCGGCCTCGGCGACTTTGTTGTTTGCATCTTCAACAGCCTTTTCTGCCTGTTCTTGTGCTTCGATGGCTTGTTTCTCAGCTTCTTCGGCTTTTGCTTGTGCTTCCTCGGCTTGTTGTTTCGCTTCATTAGAAAGTCGCAACTTCTCTTCGGCGTCTTCCTTCGCGGCAACTGCCTGGCGTTCAGCTTCTTCAGCCTGAGCTTTAGCAGCATTCGACTTTTCAAGTGCTTCTTCGGCTTGTGCTTTGGCTTCATTAGATGCTTGAAGAGCGGCTTCAGCTTGTTCCTTAGCAGTTTCAGCTGCATTGTGTGCTTCTTCGGCTGCTTGTTTAGAAGCTTCTGCGGCCTCTTTAGCCTCTTCAGCGGCTTTAGCAGTCGCTGAAGCCTTTTCTCTTGCTTCGGTAGCAATTTTTACTATTTTGTTATTACATTATTAATTAAAAATACTATAAATACCATAAAAATATAGCTTTGTCATAACAATACATCAAATGCAGTAACTCCATATTTTAAACTTAGTAGTTCTAATAACTCTCATATAATATATTACTAATAAATATAGTATTTTTACCACTTAAAATAATAGAGTATTATAATAATAATACTAATAGTAATATAGTATAGAGTAATATAATATTATTATATAGTTATATTATATATTTACTATATTATAATATATAATATACTATTTTATATATTATAAATATATATAAACAATGATATAGTAACAATTATAAATAATAATAGAAATAACAAACCAGGCTTGGCAGCTCTCTTCTGAGCTGCTTCGAGTGTAATTTTAGCTCTTCTCAATGGCAAATCATCTTCATTGTCCAATTTAGCGAGTTCCTGAATAGCAGCATTCTTTGCGACTAATCCGGCAGTTTCAATTTTCTTCTTCAAAGCGGCTTTCTTGTTTTCTTTTGCTTCTTCTTGTGACTTGACTTCATTCAAAGCTTTTGTCACTTCGTCTTCAGCAGCTTGCGCCTCTTTTTGTCTTTCAATAGCTTCGTCCTCGTCTTTCTTAGCAACTTCCGCGGCATCGGTAGCAACTTTAGCCGTCTTCACACTCTCTTCGAGCTTCTGTGCAGCTTCTTCGACTTTCTTTCTCGCATCTTCCGCAGCCGCTGCGCTCTCTTCAGCCTTCTGTGTAGCTTCATTTGCCTTCTGTGCACTTTCCTCTGCTTTTTGTGTAGCTTCGTCTTTGGCCGCAGAAGCCTCTTCTGCCTTTTTAGTCGCTTCTTCCGCAGCGGCTTTACTTTCTTCGGCTTTCTGAGCGGAATCCTCAAAGGCCTTTTTGGCTTCGGCAGTTCTATTTTTGGATTCCTCAGCAGCGGCTTTGGCCTCTTCGGCTTTCTTTTGTGCACTTTCAAATAAGACGGTGACTTCCTCTAACATGTGTTTGGCCTTTTCGATGTTCTCTTGATTACCCCCTTGAGGCGCATGAACAACTTCGGCAAAGTCTTGCTTAAAATAGAAGATAAGGAAGTTGATCATAGAAATCTTTTTGAAAGAAGTCACTCCAACCTTTCTCATGTGATTTCTCATCTCTTGGAACGTCTGCTGCGCTCCAAGTTTCTCAAAAACTCGGTGCATGTTGACTTCGTCTAAACCATTGCCTTCTTTCCCATTCTCTTGCTCAAGAGATGAAAAAAGATTCACAAAATTCCAGATCTCTTCTGCGTGGGCATCTTTTTCTTTCAGCCACAACGCATTCAACATCCAGACTGCTTGGTCTTGGAATTTCTTTTGCCCAAGTTCCCTGAGAAGTTCTAAGTCACTCATTTTATCTGTTAGTTTAAAGTTTTACGAGTCTCTTTATATAGCAGAAAAGCGAATTTATTTGGAGAAATTTAACATTTTTTAAAGTAAAACCGAATTTAATTAAGAAGAAGTCGGGAATTTTTGGAGAAGGTTTCTTTAAAGATAAACAATTAGAATTCATGAATAATAGAGGTGTGAATATGAGTATTTTGAGATAAGAGCCGTTTCGATGGGAATTTTAGGGATTTATCAAATCAAAAAGATTTTTTAGAACTTGAGGAGTTTATTTAAAAGTTCTCAAACAATTGATATCTTTCATTACTTCTCGATTATTCTTTATTATTAATACAGTTTTGGGAAGTTACCATTGTTAATAAATAAGTGTAAAAAATCGGAAGTACAAAATCGTTTTAAAATATTTTAATGATATGTTTCGAATTTGGAGAATAAACTGTATTATGAAATATGGTTATTATATTATTATGTATAATACATAATATAATAATAAAATAAATAGAAAATAAAATCAAATTTGTCAAAAATAGTAAACTTTGTTTATACTTATCATACAATTTAAGATTTTTCATGTTAATATATTATATTAAAAAGCAATTATTTTATGTTTTTTCAAATAAACAATAATTGAAAATGTAATTGTTCATATTTAAAGTTGTTGAAATGTAACAATAAATGTTTTTAAAATTAGTGTCTACATCCACTTTTTGAATTGTAGTATGTTTCGAATTATAACTCTTCTATGAATATTGTCTGTATAAAAATGATAAAAATGTTTATAAGAAATAACCCATTTCATGTAAATACATACAAATAGTTTTTGAATAAAAATTTCAAATATTAATGTGATTACACAATGTTATTCAATATATGAATTGAATGTAATCATTTAAAAATCACAGTAATTACACATAAGTTACAATTATTTATCAAAATAATTTATTTTTTTTAATTTATTATTAAAAATGTAAATTGTTGATTTATTATTATTTATTATATTATAATTAATATAATAAAATATTATTATTATTTTACTATCAATATCATCAGGCATTATTAGTAGTATAAATATACCTAATATCCCGAATATTTAGGTGTTTATTTAATTAACAAATAAATAATTTTGCCAATAAGTATTCATCTAAAATTGTTTTTTTAGGCAGGTATGTAATTATAAAAATATACTTTAAAACAAACTATTAAAACAAAAAACACCAATTTATTTAAAACCGTAAAACCATAATTTTAATAAAACTATTAAAAATTATTTTTTATTGGAATAATAATAACTAATAATCTTTTAATGAATTTATATAAAATGAAATATAAAAACAAAAAAATCCAATAACAAACAATGGAAAACGAGTTGACAGCACTCTCAGCACTCTCGACAAAAGCAACAAAGGCGTTGTCAGATTTCCAAAAATTAAAGTTTGATTACGATTATGTTGACAACAAGTCACTTGACATTGCACAACGAGTTGAAAATGCAGAAGGTTACTTCGACAAACTTGACGAGATTATTGAGAGAAAGAAAAACATCACAACATCACTCAACACAATTCTTACTGGTTTAAACAACATATTAAACAATGATAATGAAAAGTTCTATGAGATATACAATCTCAGAATTTCACTTCTTGAGGAGAAATGTAAAATGGACACAAAACCATATGAAGACCAAATCAACAAAATTGTGCAAACAAAGAACAACTCAATCGATCAGATAATCAAATCTGAAAAATTTATCAATTCTAAAAGACAACACGAAACATTTCAAGAAGAAGAGAAAGTGCGTGAACACATCACACTTGACGAAAAAGATGGTCTTGAGAAGTTGACAGGAATGAAGATTTCGAGTGTTGTGTTTGACTCAGACAAAGACGATTGGTCATTAGACAATTCAGTGTTTGATGAAAAGGTAATGAACAAAAGCAATTTGTGCTTTTTAATAGAAGACACAAATAACAACAAATTTGGTGGCGTGTTCACTAGAAATATTGATACTATTGGCAAATGGATCAGCAGTGGCTCTTCTTACATCTTTTCTCTTGTGAGAAGTGGCATTTTAAAAACAAAAAAGTTTGGGAAGACTGGAAATTCTAACAATAATGAATTATGTCTTTATT